ACCCCCCCCCCCCCAACCCACCCACACACACCCACACACAAAATAATGTTTAGAGTTATGAGTTAATTGTTTGCGTCAAAAGTTGGTTTTGTCATGGAATTCATTATATCTTCGGTCGATTACAATAAATTCAAAGAGATAGTCTTTTTATAAGACTTCTTTTACACAACAAAAGGAAAATTACAACTCTTGAGAAACAAACGCAGGACCGTTGTTTGGATCGCTGCTTGCGTGGGATCTTTGCCTGTGCCGGGAGCGCTTTGACTCGTGGACCACCGAAGCACAGATTCTGATTGAACCGTGAGGGGTTTAATGATTCTTCCTTCGTTTATCGAAGTAAGAATTTGAAGCGAATATCTTATCGATGTAAGATGTTCACTCTTCCAAAGATCAAGTCTGAGCTTAGATCTCTAGGACTCGCTAGAGGCTTCTTGAGGATGTTTGTGAAGAAGGAAGACTCTCTCTCTTGCTCTAATTCACCAAAACTCAAGGCTCTCTGCTCTAATCTCTCTGGAAAATGCTCAGCCCTTGTCAATGATGGCCATAGGGGGGTATTTATAGCCTCCTTGGACAATAACTGAAGAAATAGCCGATCAACGACTATCCCTTTGACCGCGACACCCCGGACTGCAGCGGCTATTGGCGCGGCAGCATGAACTGCAGCGGCCACAGGGGCAGTTACCAGCACGTTCCATCGTGCTTGAAACTGTCCTCCCACGACTTTTAACCACCTTTTTCGTGGTTTAACTGCTTGTACACGTCAGCACACGTTCTGTTTCTGGTATGCTGCCACGTGGGCCTCAAAAATCATCATATAACTGTTTCGTAACTGCTGCAACACTCCTTTAACATAGCCGCGGCACCCTAGATTGCAGCGCCCAAGCCGCGACACGACAAGCTGTCGCGCTTCGTTCAATTTGTGGACCTCTCGTTCATGGAACGAATCGAGAGGGGATTTTGGCTTTGGTCCTAACTGTTTAAAGGTTTGACCAAGATGGGAATTTGAGACGATCCTAACTGTTTAAAGGTTTGATCGTTCAATTTGTGGACCTCTCGTTCATGGAACGAATCGAGAGGGGATTTTGGCTTTGGTCCTAACTGTTTAAAGGTTTGACCAAGATGGGAATTTGAGACGATCCTAACTGTTTAAAGGTTTGATCGTTCAATTTGTGGACCTCTCGTTCATGGAACGAATCGAGAGGGGATTTTGGCTTTGGTCCTAACTGTTTAAAGGTTTGACCAAGATGGGAATTTGAGACGATCCTAACTGTTTAAAGGTTTGATCGTTCAATTTGTGGACCTCTCGTTCATGGAACGAATCGAGAGGGGATTTTGGCTTTGGTCCTAACTGTTTAAAGGTTTGACCAAGATGGGAATTTGAGACGATCCTAACTGTTTAAAGGTTTGATCGTTCAATTTGTGGACCTCTCGTTCATGGAACGAATCGAGAGGGGATTTTGGCTTTGGTCCTAACTGTTTAAAGGTTTGACCAAGATGGGAATTTGAGACGATCCTAACTGTTTAAAGGTTTGATCGTTCAATTTGTGGACCTCTCGTTCATGGAACGAATCGAGAGGGGATTTTGGCTTTGGTCCTAACTGTTTAAAGGTTTGACCAAGATGGGAATTTGAGACGATCCTAACTGTTTAAAGGTTTGATCGTTCAATTTGTGGACCTCTCGTTCATGGAACGAATCGAGAGGGGATTTTGGCTTTGGTCCTAACTGTTTAAAGGTTTGACCAAGATGGGAATTTGAGACGATCCTAACTGTTTAAAGGTTTGATCGTTCAATTTGTGGACCTCTCGTTCATGGAACGAATCGAGAGGGGATTTTGGCTTTGGTCCTAACTGTTTAAAGGTTTGACCAAGATGGGAATTTGAGACGATCCTAACTGTTTAAAGGTTTGATCGTTCAATTTGTGGACCTCTCGTTCATGGAACGAATCGAGAGGGGATTTTGGCTTTGGTCCTAACTGTTTAAAGGTTTGACCAAGATGGGAATTTGAGACGATCCTAACTGTTTAAAGGTTTGATCGTTCAATTTGTGGACCTCTCGTTCATGGAACGAATCGAGAGGGGATTTTGGCTTTGGTCCTAACTGTTTAAAGGTTTGACCAAAATGGGAATTTGAGACGATCCTAACTGTTTAAAGGTTTGATCGTTCAATTTGTGGACCTCTCGTTCATGGAACGAATCGAGAGGGGATTTTGGCTTTGGTCCTAACTGTTTAAAGGTTTGACCAAATGGGAATTTGAGACGATCCTAACTGTTTAAAGGTTTGATCGTTCAATTTGTGGACCTCTCGTTCATGGAACGAATCGAGAGGGGATTTTGGCTTTGGTCCTAACTGTTTAAAGGTTTGACCAAATGGGAATTTGAGACGATCCTAACTGTTTAAAGGTTTGATCGTTCAATTTGTGGACCTCTCGTTCATGGAACGAATCGAGAGGGGATTTTGGCTTTGGTCCTAACTGTTTAAAGGTTTGACCAAATGGGAATTTGAGACGATCCTAACTGTTTAAAGGTTTGATCGTTCAATTTGTGGACCTCTCGTTCATGGAACGAATCGAGAGGGGATTTTGGTTTTGGTCCTAACTGTTTAAAGGTTTGACCAAATGGGTATTTAAGACGATCCTAACTGTTTAAAGGTTTGATCGTTCAATTTGTGGACCTCTCGTTCATGGAACGAATCGAGAGGGGATTTTGGCTTCGGTCCTAACTGTTTAAAGGTTTGACCAAATGGGTTTTGTGAGGGAAGATTGATCTAACGAAGTGATCGAATCTCATCTCAGCAAAAGAGTGTTCGAAAATCATAATAGGAGCTTAGTATTTATCATTCTGTCCATAATAATCGGGTTATCCCTAAGAATATTATATTTAACATTCTTCCAGGAACTTCCCATTACATGAATTATCGACCCCCAGCTTTCTTTGTAAAACTGGGTATAACGAGGAGTACGTTAACCTCAGTCATATGTTCGGGTTATCCTTAAGAATATAGGATTCTCCAGGAACTTCCCGTTAAGGAAAGGAAATAGTTTAGACTCATATACCTTTTGGAGTATCGAGGAGCAGTTTATACTCGTATACTTTTCGGAGTGAGGGGAAAC